GGAAAGCCGAAAACACATTGATCGACTAACACGATATCACGGCATGAACGTTGATCGTGACGATCATATCTAGAAGAAGGGAAGTGTTACGATAGCCGGTTGCCTGTTGCATCACTTTGCACGAGAACATTCCCGAAGATAAGGGTCAATGGCCTCTGTCAAGGTAATAAAACGTGTAAGCATAAATAAAGACAAAGCTCAAACTATTGATACAAACAAGACGCAACTTTATATCTACGATTATAAAACCTTTTCTCCTTTGAACATATTGTTATGTAAAGGTGGGTTTAAACCAACGAACGAATACTCATTCTATCCCCACTCCATCAAATTATTTTAGTGCAGATTCTATGGAATATTCTAAGGCCGGTCGCGCGCTTTATGTAAACGATGCAAGAGCAAACGAACAGTAATCTAGAGCATTCTTTCTCGTTCGGACATGCTCGCTGCTCAGAGCTGTTTTTTCAAAGCGTTCTTGCGTTCTATCAACTATTATTATTCTGTGGTTCTAGCAAATCGGAGGTAAGAAACGAGCTTATCATGGACTGGTCTCAAGAAAAATGTTTGTTCTTGATTGAGACCTACCGTAATTGGAGAAACCTGTGGGGCCCTAATGATGATAGTTATAAAATTTTTAATCGCAAATAAGGCAGGAAATTGCAACTACAGTGAAAAGTAGTACTGAGGAAGCTATAAAGAAGATGGAGTCACTTCTTGTGTCATACCGCCGTGTTTTTACCTGCCACACTTGACGAATGAGCGACGAACACTCATTTAGCTTATATAAATATCTCTAGAGCATGTGCAAGAATTCTAGTTCTTGTTATTCTCATTTTTGCTCGTTGGGATTATTTTGGTGTGAACACTAAGAACGAATTTTTATTCACACTAAAATATTATGGCTATTTGCTCATTTGGTCTAAGCCCACCTTTAATGGATATAAAAACGTGCGTCGGCGATCGGAGAAATCATTATTTCGGAAACGCAAAAGTGAACTGTACTTCGGAAAGCGACACAACGACTGCGATCTGTAAACTACTCGTAATATCGAAGCATAAATGACTTTCTTAAGTATTCTTGTTATCGACATGAAATAAAAATTATTCCATTATGAACCTAGGTCTCTCCTTCCTAGGCCTCTCCTAAATATCCCCATTTTTACCTTAGTTGCCTTGCTTGGCTGGCGGATTGCCAACCGTATTATTTTTATTTTAATCTGTTATCAGCTCTCATCAGAGTGAGAATTTGTGTGATAACAGAAAAGTGTGATTTGTGTAATAAGAGAAAGTTGTGGTAAGATGATGCTGTGGCCAGGATTAAGGAATGCTTCGTTTGTATGGTCACATAAAAACGATTAATTAGGATAGATTGACAAAGCTAATTAATGTTGCAGAAGTGAACGGCAGAGCCGACAAGGGACGCCCTAGCTAACGGATGTTTATCGACCAAATTGGCGCTATACTAAAGATGGGTCAAATTAAGAGCCACCCTTAATCGTCGAGCATGTATGTGTAGGTATATAGAAGTAAAGAAGCCGAGTGAGGTATGTCAGGATCGTGCCAAACGGAAGTCCGTAGTACCTACTTACCTACCGTTAAGGGTGGCGGGCGTGAGTGTTTATGTATGTATGTATTTATCAGGAACGTACTGATTTTATTACGCCGATTTTACAGGCCTGAACCAAAATCATTAAGTAAGGCCGTTGCGCTGGTTTTCAGCCTTTTAGTGGAGTTGTTAAATTTAAGGTGCTCGAAAAAATAATTGCCATTATGCTGGCCTAGTGATGTTAATGTTAATTTGTAGCTTACATAATGTAGTTTTCATTTTTGTAACTCATTGATGCTACAAGAAAAATCACTTTTTTATAATAATTTTTGATGTGAAAAATATGTAAAATGCTAGTTTTCGGCCCCAAATTTTAAATTTCGGCCCACAAGAATTTTAGTTTTCGGCCACTGCATTAGACACGATAGAAAAGGTGCCGTAACCTTAAATTAATATAATTTTTGTAAAATTATAATAAAATTTCGTGTCGTTAAATATGGCAATCGAATCTTCTCATTTTTTTGTACTTTCTCATATTTTCAGCATCATCAGCCTTTCCATTACAGCCCTTCAGAAGTCCACTGCTGAACGTAGGCCTCCCCAAAGAAATGCCACAAAACACGGTCCTGAGCCACCTGCATCCATTGACTTCCTGGTCGTCACTCTATCTAGTGGGGGGACATCCTATACTTTGTTCGCCGGTACGAGGCCGCCATTCGAGAACCTATTTCCCCATTTGTTGTCGGTTCTTTGAGCTATATGGCCGGCCCATTGCCACTTCAGCTTTCTAACTCGTTGGGCTATGTCGGTCAGTCTGGATCTACTACGGATATCCTCATTTCTAAGTTTATCACACAGACAAACTACGAGCATAGCCCTCTCCATAGCTCGCTGAGCAACCCTGAGCTTCCTCATTCGGCCAGCAGTGAAGGACCACGTCTCAGTTCCATAGGTCATCACTGGCAACACGCACTGGTTGTACGGTCTCGTTTTGAGGTATACCTGACGAGAAGATGTGCTGTAATTTCCCGAACGCTGCCTCATATTTTAGTCCAACAAAATCTATACATATTTCAAATCCATTTGGTGCAAAAGTCACATCCAATTTTTTTATATATAAAGTTAAGTATAAAGTTTTCACCACTCTGCCTATCAAATTGCTACAGAAGAAGGTGTACGGGTACTGTTAATGGTTGATTTTTTACGAGTTCCGGTTTAACTAAATGTTTGTCTATCGCATCTCTGTATTCCTTATTTAATAGTACTAAAGCCGATGTTTCACTAGTTTGTAGAATTGTACTAGTCTGCTTTATTGGAATATCAACCAGCACATTTTCTAAAGTTTCAAAGGCGTTGTTTGTTATCATCGATGTTAGTGGTGGTGGTATCATCGTGGCCATTGTACTACTTTGAGTCGTTATTATTGCATTACTGGAATCTATTACCATTTCCGGCATTGTCAGTACTGTTGTAATTGGTAGGCTTATTTGAGTTGGGATTACAAGAACATCATCTAACGATACTAAGGAACCGTTATCCAAATAACTTCCTGACAAAGGCAATGTTGAAATGTTGTTATCGATAAACGATTCTAATGCATCGGTAGATGAATTCACAGTTACTAGAACATCGCCAACCATGTTTTTTTCTACCAGATTTGATTTTAAATGTTTCAAAACTTTTCTTATGGATACTAGGTCTGCGTTAGTTATTTCTTTATAAATATATTTTTTTGGTGTCTGAATTTTCACTAATTAGTCTTTCCGGGGTATTCCGGGCACATTTTGAGTAATCCACTATATGGCGATCAAATTCATTAAGTCCACGTTTTCTGAAACCATTTACTATAATTATATTTCTTTGGAGATTTTTCTTTGACGGAGCCATCTGAAGAAAATAATGTCTTATTGAATTTTGTTCCCAAAACGCAACGTGAATGAAATATTTCATGAAATGTCCGTCAACCAAAGCAGTATTCAATTTTCAGCTTTCCTATTCTTTCATACAATTAAGTTGGCCGAAAACTAAATAATAATTTTAGACTCAATCTAGTTTTCGGCCACAACTAAAATGGGTATTTTAGTTTCATCAATAACCATTCAAATTGCAGTATTTGGTGGCCTAAAACTGAAAGCTAGTGTCTTCACAAGGATGCAATTCATTATAAATAAGAAAGAAGACTAATAGTAGGTAACCAAATAAATGAAAGAGTCAAAGTATTTAGGCTAAACTCGGGCTACTTTCGGGCCACGTGGCCGATAACCAAATAATAGGAAAATTTTATGTGTCACTTTCCGGCCACCTAATTTATTAACTTTTACAATAAAATATTATATTAATCTATGTGAAAATTTAAAATTAAGTTATTTATACAGTGAATAATAAGCACAATATTAAATAATCATTGTAAATACAGCTCAAAATTTACTTTTGAGTGAAACGCACGCCACTATTTTTTTTGCACGATCTTACACTCTTTGACAGCTCCTGTGCCGGCGTCGAACTGAACTATTTATTATAAATTGCGTGTGGTGTTTACCCGATGGAGTAATGTTGCAATATATAATGCAACTATTTACAAATGTATTAAACTTAATTTTGTACGATAATATTTATTAAAATCGTTATTAAATCAAATTTACTGCATCACCTGGTGCCAAAGGCCGAAAACTAGACCCGGTCGGCTTACCGGCGCAACGACCCTACCTACGTTCTTTTTGACAGTTTCCCCAAATAAAGGCAGCATTGATCTTCCGAGTTTAACTCCGACTTTCTCATTACATATTTAAGAATTACTTCAACTCGATGTATCTACATACCTAACTTTGAATATAATCTGGAGTTAAAACGGAAATTTTATCTAAAAACTAAACAACTATTTTCGTGGGACGCAACTCTATTATCCGTATTCGGCATAATTCGTCTCGTAAGTGTCGTATGGGAAATTTTAGAAAAATCTAATGGGATCAATTAATGGCGGTATAACTTACTCGTTTATGGCAGACGTAAAAAATTATCCAATCCGGTGGCAGGTAACAGCATCAAAGGCGCATTCTGCCCGTAAACATGACAACGATTGTTAATTTTACCAATGGTGGGTGAGGTCAATGTCCGGGCAGTAAGCGTTTACCTGTTGATGGTGTGACTTACAGCTTACAACCTAACAAATAAAATTTTATTTTATTTTATTTTTAGCTACATAATATAATTATATGGAAAATATAAAAAATAGACATATAACTAAGTACTGATCTATGTTAGTCACACGCACGTTGTTTATGTTGCAGGTGAGTGTTGAGTGCAAGGGGCGATACATGCGCTTGCGCAGGCGAGTGCAAGGCAGCTGTGCGTAACCGCACCGCATTCTCGATCTCGCTCAGTTGGTCCGCTGCCGTTGGGTTAGAGGCACGCGTGTGCGATACGACGTAACATCGCGAACGATCGCGAACGCGACATGAGCAGTGGAAAGAGAAAACTCTCATTTTTGGGCTTTGCCCCCCAGGTATGTTTCATTTTATTCTATCTCATAAGAGAAATTAGCCTAAAATGGGATACTTTTATGTATACAAAAACAGTTGTTGGATTTATTAAAATTTTTGTATCACGTTATAATAATTATTGCTTAAATTCACCTGTGCGGATGTATTACTTATTATCCCTAATAATGACAGTGTTCATTGATATAAGTTTCATTGTTTTAAAAGATAAGAAGGTATGTAAAAGTGGTTTTGGTACTAATACCATCGTTATACGAACTTATAAAGAAGAAAAACTTTTTTAGATTCAACACTACAGATACCCGAGGAATGAGACAATTATAATATAGATTATGTTGTTTCAATTACCAATGTCGTAAATTTTTTGTCAGATATATATATATATATATATATATATATATATATATACAGTGAAACAATTCGCAATGATTCGTTATGTTGTATTTTAGCATACTTGTGAAGAATATTCCATGATGGAGCATAAAGTTCGGATAAGATTTGTATAAACTACAGATCATAGATTATTTCTATGATCTGTGGTATAAACTATTGAAAAACCAATATTAGACTAGATAGATAGAGCTTGTAAAGTGTAAAACAATATTGGGAGTCTGAGTAGTATAAAATATGGAGCAGTTAAAATATATTTAAAATTTATCACTTAAAGTTGGCGAGGAATGCAATAAATTTTAATTACCTAAGTGTAAACTTTAAGAATGCCTATATGAAGTTTAGACACGGACTGCAGTAAAGCTATGGTGATAGGATGCCATATATCCAGCATGGCCAGCAGTGGATTTTGAAAAAAAAAAGGATCATACCCGCCTCATTCTAAGACTCGCCGGCAGTCTAAGATTTAATCTCCCATAAATTGTCATTATATTTGTTTTAAGTATAGTCTGCGCAAAACTATCCGTTATTCGCTCGCTGTTCCGCATACTGAATACTATTACAAAACTGACGATGATAGGTCAATCCTGTCCTTTCTATAAAACCATAGCTACAAATAAGGGTATAGGAATTGGAGATCTTAGACTGCGCCGACTTTAGACTAGGGCGGATTTATCATCCTATCCTATAGCTTTACTGCAGTCGGAGAATAACTTTCATGTATTCTAGGAGTTTCACCTCCTTATTGCTCTCCTGATGACCTTCAACAGATAAATTTTTAACATACCTATTTTAAATGCTCTCTGTTATTACTCAGACTAGCTATTATTAAAAACACAGAGAATATGCTTAAATACATAAAAATCACTGTTACAAAATTTTGATCAGCTAAGTTTCTCTAAGTGTCAAGGAAATAATGCTACTGTCGACATGTTACTACCTGTCGTCTTTTTGGCCGCGAATGTATTTGAAACATGGACGTATAAAAAAAAGGTTATTATTTATACGTCCATCATTTGAAATAATTGAGTTATCGTAGTCAGTTTTGTTATCATATCTGGTAATAAATAAGGGATAATTTTTCGCAATAACGATAGTATTTAGCAAATAGAGTGAAAAATAACTTATGGGAAATTAAATCTTAGAGCTACCAGACCTGTTCAGCTGCATCTGTTTATAGGCTCATCTAGTTATATTTATATAAGATATATTCTTATTAAGTGTATTTTTTTAGTTAAGGATCCTCTATTAATCAAATTGCTTTACAAAACTAATTTACGTTTAGTTAAATACGAAATTCAAAATTATTACTTTCGTAATGAAATATTTTCTGAATGGCGTAATCGAAGCTTTGAAGGTGACGGGACGTTAACACTATACTGAGCTTAAATTTTGAAAAATTAAGGTTATTTTAGAACTTAAATTAAGACACTTGAATAGCATAATCAAGCGACTTGTAATTTGATGTTTCTTCGAAGTATCTAAACAGTTTACAATTGAGCACAATTATGTAGTGCTAAATGTTTTTATTATAAGAATAAAAAGTATTAAATGGTCTGGACACAACACTCAGGCGCGTCTCTGTTCACGGGTTCTCTCTAATCAATGACAATCAATACATATCGATTAGCGTGACAAGACAACACAAATAATATTTTATGTACATCCACCATCAATTGCAAGAGCGAAACCATTTAGAATTGATTCAAAAATCGATTTAATACCATACCACATAGCGGCCCATTGAATTACATAAGTTTGGCACTTTGAACTTTTCTTTCCAACTAATTCAAAAGGAAACATACAAATAAAAATTTATATTTCTGATATATTTAACATGTATTTAACTTTATATGTTATGTATATTTTTAAATTGCTATATCAATTGTTATTCAGTGTCAGTGATAGTAATCAGAAGGTGCTAATAACCTTTAATGGCAACATTTAACGCACGTACAGTGTGGACTGACGAGAAGGTCTTAGAGATGGAAGAAAAGATAGTTGCGATGGAATATTGTTGTCGCTAATATCATTAACAACGTTGTGAAGATTGAAAGTTTGTCGACAACGGTTTCGTAACTTATAATCAAAATTATCATACTGTATTCGTTGGAGGCATACAGATTTATGCACCAAGCTCTGCACATCCCAATGAAGAGGTGGGAAATGTATGAGGATATTTCTAGAACCATGCATCCCTTTAATAGCCACTATAAGTTGTTAATGGGAGACTTCAACACAAAACTAAGCACAAGAATGAACATTCGGAATAGGGCAACGAACTCAACCCAACCCGACCGAACCCAAGGGATCAACACTGGCTGATTCCATGGAGAAGAAGGGACTTTTTATAATAAACACTGAATTTAGAGATCCTGAGGGTAAAAACTAGTAGGGATCACATAATGATATGCACCTTAACGGTAAGTTGAAGAGTCACGTCTAATGAAGTAACGCTTCGTCGTCCCTGTACTGTAATCCAAAGCCCTGAAAACTTTCAGCTCGAACTACAAAATCGTGTATAGTATACAGGAACTGCACAGATAGACTTACGCAATTTCTATACAGCTTGTATAGAAGCGTTTGAACGGCACCGCGGCTCAAATCTTAGCCAGAGATCTGTCTCTCGGAAAGAACTATCGTAGTTAAAGGCGAAATACAGTAGCAGCGTTCATGTCCAGGACATCTCAGATTTTGAGTGAGATTGAGAGGTTACGGCTACGGACAGCTGTATACATCATTGTTTGAGCCACACATTACCACAAGTGTGAGTAACAATCCAAGAGCAAGTCTCATTCGACACTATTTCGATGTCCATGTGCTGTGAGTTATTATGAATCGACTGGAACGCAAATTTGATGACTTCTAGCCTCTGAACAAGCCGGGTTCTGAAAAGGCTTTTGTTCCATACACTACATATACACCCTCGACAAATTATATCTTAAGACCGAGGCGTACAATTTCCCACTTCGTCTTGCGTATGTGGTCTATAAGAAAGCCTTTCATTCCACAGACATTGGCCAGTGCTACAGTCCTTTCAGCGGTGTCAGTGTCAAGTCAGTATATAGAAGTGATGACGGTTTTTTTTTACAGTAGGCGATGGCTATCAAAGTTCAGGATCAGAGTACGAAAACTGCAGAGATGTGTAAAACAGTGTGACGTTATATCCCCAAAACTCTTCATCACTGCTTTGGAAGACGTCTTAAAGCTGGTAGGCTAGAAAGGATAATATTAACATCATGGCGAGTACATCGCTCACTTTTGATTTGCCGATAATAAGTCCTGATGCCAGAATTCTGGGAGATCTCAATTACCCAACAGTGACTCCGAACGGATAAGGTCATAAAATGTGGACAAAACAAAGGACATGTATAACTGCCGGCCGTATGAGAAAGCTCAAGGTATCTCAGCGAGCTATGTAGAGGGCTATACTCGGGTTTCTTTGCGTGATAAACTTAGAAATGAGGATATCCGCAGTAGAACCAGAGTAAGCGATATAGCCCAACATATTACTAAGCTGAAGTGGCAATGGGCCGGCTATATAGCTCGAAGAACCGACAACCGATGGGGAAGAAAGGTTCTCGAGTGGCAGCCTCGTATCTGTAGACGAAGTATAAGGTGTCCCCCCACAAGATGGAGTGACGACCTGTTGAGACATGCAGGAAGTCATGTGGCATTCTTTGGGGAAGCCGTATGTTTGCAGTGGACTTGTGAAAGGCTGCAATTATACATAAATTAGGGCAGTTTGTATATGATAATTGCTAACAAACATGGATATGTCACCCTATACTATAAAAAATATATATATTTTATAATTGTTAATTTATGGTAAATTGCGAATCGAGAATGTATTTTTTTTTCTTGAACAGTAAGTGGGAGTGTAATTGTGCGTTTGTTACTGACAAACTATTAAAATCTCTTCTTCTTCCTGTTTAAACCCATTAAAGGAAGTGTAGTATCGTCGGCATAAGATATTAATTACAATTTTAGATGTTTAGATTACAAAGTTCATTAATGCAACAAAGGAACATCGCTGGGCCTAATACTACTACCATACTACTTTGTGGTAATTGATATTGTTCATTGCTTACTTAAGCGCCTATTCTTACTACGCTGATAATCCAGAATGAGTAGAAACTGGGTACCTAACTCTTATGCCCACCAAATCTAGTTTGCCCGTCAACTTAATTTCTTTGAAGCCACGTTATAAAATTCACAACTGGACTTGAGCCTTACCCAGGTTTGATTTTAATACATAGTATATTTAATGATTTATCCCATAAAGCAATAAGAAATTATCACATAAAACAAAAGAAATGGAAGCAGTACTTACTCGCCGTTTTTGGGTGAGGCTTATAATCATAACATAATATGTTTAATGTGTTCAGTAGCTGATTCATTATGGACTACAATAATAATATTATTGATGAAGAAATGGAGATTTTATATTCTTCACAAAGATAATATTTACTTTAAGGTCTATTATCCCCTATTTTGTTAATATCATAGATTTTACAATTAAAAAGCTGCAGGTGCCTTTTCTAAGCCCTTTGAATCACTACATAAAAAGTGATATGTCAAAAGTGATTCAAGCTGTATAAACAAATTCCGTTTA